GGATCAATTCCCTCTGTGATAATATACACCAAATGTCCATTATGCTGGGTCAATTCCCTCTGTGATAATATACACCAAATGTCCATTATGCTGGATCAATTCCCTCTGTGATAATGTACACCAAATATCCATTATGTTGGGTCAATTACCTCTGTGATAATATACACCAAATGTCCATTATGCTGGGTCAATTCCCTCTGTGATAATATACACCAAATGTCCATTATGCTGGGTCAGTTCCCTCTATGATAATATACACCAAATGTCCATTATGCTGGGTCAATTCCCTCTATGATAATATACACCAAATAGTTAGTGACAATTAGTCACATTGTGTTAATTAACTATCAAAGACATCACATTGCAAGAATCAATTCTTTGTTTTCAGTAACATAATGTAGCTTTTCCTTGATCACAAAATGTTATTTGTATATTATACATGTAAAATATATGAAACAATAAATCAGTGTTTGTTTTAATGGGGGGGGATGGAAAGACCATAATGCCGTCTTTATAAAAAAAAAACTGTTAAATTGTTTGTAGTTAAACATAAAGTACTCACCAATTATTAGTTACTTATTTGAAGAGTAGGAGTTACAAAAGTAAGGGGAATTGTAAAATGTGAGTAAATGTTTCTGAAAGTAATGCTTATTCTATTTCATATTAACTAGTCTCTCAGAAAATCAGTCTCTTATTGCCATGCCTCCCTGGACAAACTTGTGGTTAGTGTCTGCAATGGCTCTTTCCATGACCTTACACTTCATGATACTCTACATTGATATCCTCTCTGTAAGTTTTTTATTTTTTTATATTTCTTGACAAAAATGAGTGAAATAGTTAGAAACAAAAGCCATTTATTTCATCAGTTGAATACTGTTTGTAAGTAAAATGTAAAAGATGATGCATCTTGTATATTTTTTAAAGTATGTTTATGTTGGGTTAAACTCTGAAAATATGAAGAAATGATGAAAAATGAATGTAGGTCGTTTGGTCAAAACATTTATGACGTATCACTCCGTCCCTTACAATGATTTTAACCATCTTATTTTAACGTAACTTCATGTCTAGTTATATCTGGGCATCGATTGAATTTGAATTGATCCTTTAATGTGTTTCACAAGTATCAAATTAGTAATGGCAATGTATAATCTCTGTATACTGTAATGTTTAAAATATATTTCTTGTAGACAATTTTCTCTGTTTGCCCATTGACGTTTGACGAGTGGATGGCTGTTATGAAGATATCTCTCCCGGTCCTCGTCTTAGATGAGATTATGAAGTTCATTGCACGGAACTTTATTGATGGTACAAAACGTTTTACTGGTCTTCATTGGTTTACTTCTGCTTGGGCATGTGTGCTGCCACCACGATGTACTCTCCTGTTTAATAATCCAGTGTGCCTGATTGGAAACTGCAAGAAAAAAACAAAATCTTTTTTCTGAATTCTCCTAAATCAATGCATTGCATCTTCAGTTCTTGACCTTGATGTATTTCTTCCCTTTTTGACAGCTCTGATATCTTTAGTTTAATACTTGAAGAAACATAACTCATAGTTCAGTTCTCCTTATTGATCCTTGACCTTGATTTACATTATTTGACCTCTGTGGTTTTTTTTCATTGAATATTGCAAGATAAATACCCTTTGCTTTAGTTCTAGATTTAGCAACCAGTGCATTTCTTCCTAAACCCGTGACTCTGTTTTTGGTCCTTTTATTCCCTGGTGCTTGTGATTGAATATTGCAAGATTATAAAAACCTGTTTTCGTGTATTGTTAAAATCTAGCCTATCAGTTCCTCCACCCACATTGATAATATAAATCCATTTTACTGTTGTAAACAACTAATTTTTTACTGTTATCAGATAGTGAACTTATAAACAAAACACCTAATATTTCTTTCTCAAATGTGTGACTGTACGTATCATTAATCTGTTTTTTTTTCTTCTTCGTGAAGCTCCCATATTTTATAATCTTAATTTTATCATTGTCCTTGTTCGCCGTCATATTTACAGTCATCAAAGCGTGGATAAGAAATGTTGAATTTTTACTCAGCACCATGAACAGCTCACTTGTTATCTTTGTGTGCATTTAAGATGCTTGCAGCTTCAGTGAAATCATGGGAAGAAATTTACTAAAAACAGGTGTTGTATTTTAAACTAGACAATTAACAACCTGTACCTTGAAAATCCATAGTTTCTTAAGTATTAATTAATTTTTTACTTGAGGCTTATGAAAAATGTACATATATATTTTTTTTTATGACCTGAAATCCTCTGTAAGGGAATTACATTGTCTTGTCCAAACTGTACTCTGTGTATCTAGTGTTAATATTAAACTTGCATTTGATTTTCAAAACTTCCAGAAAAAATACAAGTTTATTCCTGCATGGCAGTATTTGAGAGTCCTGGAAATTTTAGTGTGGATCCTGGAAAATGTTTTAGGTTTTGTTTTTTTTTGTAAAATTTGCATGAACTATGCTACTAACTACTTACATCTTGTCGCCAGTCTATAATGAGAAAAGTATAATTTCTGGTATTTTGTATAAGTTTATGAATATAAAAGAAAGTTATTGTTTTGTGTAAAAGTCCTTTGTTGTATTTAATTGTTTCTCTACAAAACCAGTTTCACTTCTGCCTCTCATAACATCTGCTTTAATATACCTTCCGTTTCTTACAAAGTAATTTATTCCGATCAATATTAATAACATTTTTATCTTAACACTAGAAATTAACCCATCTGCCTTTGTTTTAATTCTGCATTGTGTTTGTTTTCCTACAGCTACTTGACGTGGTTTTAACTATCTAACCTTCTCTTACTGTTGACTAACCTGTAAAAGAAAATATTTTAAATTGCTACAAATTTTGAGCCAAAAACAAAGTTATCTGTAATCGTATCAAATTGTTAAATCAGAGCGATGAGTTATGAGAGCTTTAATATGTTAATATTATTACTGTGATCATCGTAATTTAAACACTACATATCATTCTTTCAAACTGTGCCATAATAACAGTTCACTTAATGTTATAGACTGTGAAGCGTGTTGTATTTCAAATTACATTTGATTTCATTAGAAGCTTTAGTTTGCTCATTTTCATAAGACATTGTATAATAAAAAAAAACTTCTATTATCAATTTTTTAACATCAAGTTTGCTACACAGGGGGAACAGCCTTGGGATCATTATAGTGTGACAGCCAATTCCACTATTTATTGGTAAAGAGTAGCCCAAGAGTTGGTAGTGGATGATGTTGACTGGTTGCTTTCTTCTAGTCTGTCGTTTCAAAAATAGTGATGGCTAGCACAGATAGCTCTGGAGTAGCTTTGCATAAAATTCGACAAAAGAAACAACAACAATATTTAAACTATGTAGATAAAATTGTATCTTTCATTCATGTCACTTTAACCTCGGAAACTATTTTTATCATGTACGTAGTTAATTTTTGTGTTTACGGCTGTGCATGCTTTAAAATTCGTCAGTATTGGTAACCACTTGTACTTGGATGTTTATTTAAGCAAGTTGTTTGCATGTTTTGTTGTTTTTGTTTAACCCTTACGATGCTTCAACTGGACACGTCTGATTTGAAATTTATAGCCATTTGATGCGACAAGCTGATTTACCCCCCACGGCTTCACAAAAGACTAGAAATGGTTATAATTCCTAATTTAATTTTTTGGTGAATAATTGACGCTTTTTGGGAATCATCCCGATATGTTTTACACACCAAAAGCGTTAATGTGTTTTTCCCAATATTTTTTGCTGGAAACTGCATTTTTTTTATTTTTTTTATATTGCCAATGAAATGATTTTGTTTCATCTTTTAGTTGATGTTTCTATTTTTGTTTTTCTCATGAAATATTAACCATATTTTAAAGTTTTTAGTTTTCAAAGCCAGTATCACTACACTGTTAAGCACTGGTTGGAAACTGTAGGAATTTCAGCTTGTAATCTTAATTCATTATTACTGATTTGTAAAAATCAAAATATGGTTCACAATTTTGTTGATCATGGAATAATAAGTTGAATTATAGTTTGTTTGTTTTAGTATTTTATATGATAATCGAGACTTCTGTGCTTAGCAGAACATCGCTAAAGTTGATCGGCCAAAGAATAATGCTATTTGTATTATTTTCAATTTCTTATTTTACCCATCCCAAAAAAATAAAATAATAAACCATTTACTGTAAAGAAAAAAAAAAAAGATTGTTTTTAGTTTTTGTGCTGTAAAACTACAATTTTTTTTTCTTTAATGAAATTAAAAATATCCAACAGATGGCACAGTTACTTTTTTTTTCCTTCTTTCTTTTTTTTTAAACCAGTTATGTTGCACTTATAACTTTTGTGAATAATTATTCTCTGTCTTGTAAAACATTCCCAAAAGCAGATAACTTTTCAGCATAATGGATATTTGGTGTACATTATCACAGAGGGAATTGACCCAGCATAATGGATATTTGGTGTATATTATCATAGAGGGAATTGACCCAACATAATGGACATTTGGTGTATATTATCACAGAGGGAATTGACCCAACATAATGGACATTTGGTGTATATTATCACAGAGGGAATTGACCCAACATAATGGAACAGATAAGGCCATGGTCATGGGATCAACGACCCACAATACATTG